CTTTATGGACTGTCTTCAAAGCGTCGTATTTCCCACCCTTTTCCTGTTGCAGATTCTTGCAACTGTGCCAATATGTTACAGGATCCATGTAAATATGCGCAGCGATGAGATTTTCTGCTCTGCGGACCAGAACTGTTCATAACTAGCTAGTGAGAATCAGCAGACCTCGTAAAGAACAACAACATTACCCTGCTCCTCTGGAATGTCAACTTGGACAACATGACACCAAAGGACACAGACTCAATACAGATAGCTTCTTCACTAGCTTCCCCTTGTTGTTCCAACACAAGTTTGCTCCTCACCCATTTTCCATCATCATCATCATCATCATCATCATCATCTTAAGTACAAATATAGCTCTGACTGACCTAAATGTTCAGATTGTGGTGGCTGATGAAAGTGCTTTGTTTAATCACCCTCTTTTTATTCAGTCAATGATAATTACAGACACACAGAGTAATCATCATTATACACAAGAGGTTAAAAAACAGCGACGTGTGAATGCACACAGGAGCCATTTCATTATTCCAGCGGGCTTTGCACACCATTAATCCCACAATGAAGTACACATACATGGGCTCAAAGAAGACAATTACTGAGTAAGAGGTTTAGAGCACCTACATGTGTGTACAAACAGGGTATATTTAGTAAATAAATAATAACAGATGTTATCAAATGTCTATTTTAATTTGCAACACGTACTGTAATACTTAGTGTACAAATGTACTGCTGGTTTCATGCTCCAGTTTGTGTCAAATACTTTTTTGATCTTATTTGGTTTTTGTAGTAGGGCAATGAACATATTTTTCTGACAGAGAAAACCACTTCACATAAAAGGCATAACATCTGTGGTGTTGCAGTTTTATGACGCTTATTATTATATGGGGCCACTTTGAATTAGAAACTAAAATTTAAATGTTTTACCCTCATTGTTACTTTGCACATTATAAACAGGCACAAACACACACTGGTATACACAAACCATGAGATCAGGGCTACCCCTTTCAGCACAAACGAACAAGAACAGGCAAATTAAAGCTGGCGCCGTTGATTTGCAACTCAGGATATTCTCACACGAGCAAATATGACAAGGCAAATGACGTTGAACGGACGCAGCCTATACTTGTGTTTAAAGCCCCTTCTTATGCAGAGGCTACACTCCAGTGTCATTACGCATTGACAATGTCAAGGAAAATAAAGTAGGTCCAGCATCACACAGGCAGAGCGAAACCACTGAGTAGTTCTGTATACGAGCTTCATGCGTGCACTTGCATCATGTAAGTGCAGCAACATTATACCACAATGTAAATAACTGGCGCTACTAGACTGTGTCCTGTAACTGGAGGAGCATCGGTGCTGTTGTGTGCATGCTTCTGCGGTGTTTGACTCATTTTGGGGGCACGAGGCCCAGATGTCTCCTTTGGAAAACAAAACCTAAACAGATGAATATGGTAGAAGATGGCAAAACACATGTTGGTGCATCATGTTGGCCCTCAGCTGCCTTCGGTATGACTGCTAACTGTAATAGGTTTGCATGTGCTTACACTTCGGAGGACATTGGAGAAAAAAAAAAGTTTGATAAGAGATGTCCTTTCAAACTGGAAACAGAGTGTGAGTCATGTGAAAAGGTGCTCAAATGAGACAAGACCCCTACCTTCTGGTCCACTATGGAGCACACCAGGTCCTTGACAGAGGACAGCGACAGGTCATTGGCTTCCAGGTTCACCGTCTCTCTGGTCAGTCCTATCTGCAGCAGGAAGGACACCCCATGGAAGGAACTGCGGGAGTTGGTGGGGCTGGGGACACTGTGACTGCCGTTGGACAGCCGCGTGTAGATCGGTCCGGGCGGGCTCGACGACGGATGGAGAGAGTGGAGAAAGGCTCGAGGTAAGGATGGGGGAGAGGAGGCAGACATTGGGTTTCTTCCAATGGCAACGTGAAATGCTGAATAGTAGAGGTTTTAGTGAGGGCTGGCAGAAAAAAGCAGGGTTGGATCTCTGTGGACAGACTCTTGGTAGGGGGGATCTTTGGTCCTCATCAGTCGTAGTGAGTCATCACTGTATGTTTTTATCAAAGCAACATTGTTTTTAAGAGGGTAATAGCCGATCCGCCCACCTGAGCTCACGCAGCACACACTCATTCACTAGAAGGGGCAGGTGATGGGAGGAAAAGTCTCTATCGATCCGCAGACTTGTGCAGTAAAATCACTGCAACAGCCTTCATATCCTGGAGTGGTGCTCCTTCTCCTTACTGAGGTCAGTAATCCACTCTGACCACAGGAAGCCTGTCAGCACACACACACACACACAGACCAACACAAATAGAACCTTTTTTTATAATGACAAAAGTATTCACCTATCTGAATACAGTAGAGAAAGCAAAGCACCGGTGCACATTAGGCTGTCATTCTGTTGTAAGGCAAAGCAGCCCCGCTGTATGAATGAAAGAGCTACTTTTCTTCCCACTGTGAACACTTTTTAGCTCAGTTCATTTAGAAAAACACGTTTCAGCCAATCTGCCTTCTCAATTAACGCACACAGAAACGGATTTCACCACCCACTTTCCAAACAGGCACGTACTTATTTGAAATCAAGACCACCAACCCTTCTTCAGTGTTTACCTGTGCTGGAACTGTCTCTTTAAACTCGAGCACTTCACTTCTCCCTGGCTATCTATTGGAGCACGACTTGTTGCTGTTGGTTAGCATTGTTTTGATTGCAAGTAGCCTACTTCCCAGAGTTAGCTTTAGGCTAACTCATATTGCCTTTTTGGGACATGGACCGCGCTAAAGGAGCCATAAATTAAACGTTTGTGTATGATATCATTACTTTTAACTTCGAAGCTTTTTTTTTTTTTACTTTTGTTTTATTTAAAACAACTTATCATCGCAACAGGCCTTTAAGCTCGTGCGCAAAAACACAGACAACAACCTAAAAGACACGTAAAAGTCGATAAAGCGTATCATTTGTGTGTTTACAAGAATTCAACCTCCACAAACATCTGGAACCAAGGCTTCTGAACATCTGCACCCCTCCCACTTTCGATTGGCTCGCTGGCAGAACACAACCCGAGTCGAGAATGCCAGCAAAACAAGTTATACAAGACCCGAATTTACACATTCAGTGGACACTTTGTTACAGTCGGGCTGTACCTCCACGTAGAGCCCGTTTAAAACGTCGCCTTAACTATGTCTGAAATGATACTTTACCTTCACAGTCAGCGAAGGGAGCTTTTCTTTCCATTGTGAGTGGACTGAAGAAAGTTTGTAACTCCATCAACCGAGGGAAGCGGGGACCGAAGTTTATATTCTGCACTTTCTGGAAGTCAAAGCGCAGCGTCGTAGCCTACACACAGCAAATACCGACATAAATTGTTCACACAGGCGCTCTGAAACTAATCGAGTCGTCCATTTATTTTCTCTTATCTTTTTAGTTCAGATTGTAAATTCATGCGCATCTTATTATCCTTCCAGCTGTGACTACTCCCCCCGCTAAACGAGAAAAAAAAAAGAGAGCAGCAGCCGTGGCTGGGGCTTGGAGTCTTTTTATTATCTCCGTATAACTGACTTTCCATGTGTGGGGAGGAAAACTTGAACTACAGTCCCTGTGAAGCAATGGCGCCTCCGATGGAGCTCAGACCAATGCGCATGTGCCTTTCTTTTCCGTTATTTCAACTTGGTCATGCCAAGAAAAAAAAAAACTTTATTCTACACGACCCAGATCGGTTTGTAATACACTGTGGGTCCCAAAGTGGGGTCCAGGAGTTCTCACAGGGGCTTGAAGGGGTTCTTATGTCCCCAGCAAAATGAAGAGTGTATTGAATTCAGTTTTCTTTTGGAAATAAACAAAGAAAGTAGAAGTTTGAGTTCTCTCATCATAAATTTCAGACTTTACTGTGCTGTCTCTCAGCATAAGGACAGCTTAAAATTGGGGCATGTGGACTATTATCTCTGCTTAAGGACTCTGACATGGGAAATGTAGGTTCACTTTATTAGATATGGGGACTCTAACTGTTAAATTAACTGAACTTCTAACGATTTGACATAAAAAACAGGAAGAGGGACTTGATTTTGCAAGGATGCTTTCGTGTTTTCAGACTGCCAGCTCATGTTTTTGATGAACTGATACACAGTAGATTACACAATGCATTTTTAGGAAGTGTACACACTTGGTATGTGCGGTCTGTGGGCAATTCAATAATGACACCTTACCTGAAATGTTCACTATACATACAAATAAGAAAACAAATCAACAAAGATGACAAACAGAATGCAGTTTATTAATATAAAAGCCTTTCAAATGCATTAATACTGTGGAAACGTGGGGTCTATCCTATTTGCCCATGCCATGAGGCCTCCACAGATGTCTTTGACTGTGACACTGTCCACTTCTGATCCACTCATCTTCTCCACAGCCTGCACCGCCTTCTGAGAGTCGTTACCCAGCTTACAGATCACGTACACTGGAGGAAGCGTAGGAGAGTTAACACAGATACGTTTGGATCTAAAAGACTTCATAAAATTGCTTATTAACTTCAATACACTCAACCTTAACTATTTTATATAATAAAAGACCATAGAGAGACACCACAGGGGACACAATTCTGCACACAAGAGTGTTTAAAACCTCCCAGAGTTGATTATGCAAAAACTGACCATATAGTAAACAACCAAGACTGTATTAAATGCTAAGCTAAAACTCCTTAAGGCTAAATTTAGCTCATTGATAAAGAAAGCTCAACACAGTGAATATCCAGAACACAACCAAAATAACATTTTGAATATTAATTCCTCTAAAGCAGGCCAGCTGCTCAGGTTGACCGTACTTGTTTTGGAAAAGGGGTCACCTAGCAACCCCATTACAACCTGCTACTAGCTGTCCAAAATAAGCCTCCAGCCCGGCAGTATGAGGCTACACAGTGGGCTGTGAATATGCACAAGTGTCTCTGCGTGCCTGTTCATTTCAAACAACATGTACGGAGCCCAAATGGTGTTTTGACATGTTACCTGGAGGCCTGCAGTCACCTGCCATCTGCTGTTTCAATTGGCTGATTCTCTCTTGAAGTAATCGGATATGTTCACTCTTCCTCTCCTCTAAACTTGAGAGAGGAATGTCTGGCAGCAGTATAAGGACAATAATCACACGGAAACAGGAAATAGGATGAATAGGAACAGACTATACAGAAGTGTGACAAAGTGAGACTGATGTTGGTGCCTCCGTCGCTAAAAAGGATACTGAGGGAGAAAGGTAAGTGGCAAATGTCCACCTCCACAAGGGGGCGCACATCCAACAAGAGATGGGGCTCTGCATTATCTATTATCAATTTATAATCCTGGAATTACATTAAAACATTCATTAATGCACAAAGACTAATAACTTAGTAATTAGAGAGAGGTGTGGCTTTATCTTTTGGAAAAAAGACATTGATTGATATCTATAGTTAAACAGGGAAAACCAAACTACTCACAGCAAAAGTTGAAATGTTGCTGGGATTTGTATTTGTGGAGTAATATGAACATTTTAAATGCTTTTCCTTAAATCACAGGAAACAAAACTGCTTCTAACTGGAGCCCCTTGCACAATCTCGATTACAGCCCAATCAATCATGATCCCCATCTCTGCGCTTAATGACTCAGCGGGTTTGAAAGTGCCAATTCTGCCGAAACATAAACAGATGCAATCCACTACCACTGCTCCCAGTGCCAAATAGAACATATTATTCTTTCCCATAGAAAATCTACAGGCACATTTTAAGTCATTTCCCATTTGGGGCTGGGTCAGCGCTGAGATGTAATCAGTTTATGAATGCAAATAAAAACCGAGAAAATTGTGAGTAATCATACAATGAACAGCACTAAATACAGGGAGTCACGCAACGGGCAAACTCTGCTGTGGTGCACGTTCCCTACCTGTACTGTGATCCTCTGATCTCTGGAAAGGAGGTTGAGTTTGCGGCACTGAAACAGAGGAAATCAGGCAATGAGAGATTTTTCCTATGATTAGAGAATACTTGTGTGTCATTGTAAATGGCAGAAACAATTTTTATCACATCAAAAAGCAACATTCCTGTGAAAATGAGCATGACCCCGTAATATGAGTTGCCCCCTCAGCTTCGTCTCTTATGACCAACCTTATCTGTGGCAGCAGACCCACAGAAAGCCTCGTAGTCTACTAGCTGCGTTACACTGGGGTTCTCGCCACACACCGCACAGCCGGCCTGCTTGGGCCGCAACTTGATGGACCTGAATCTGGCGTCTTGAGCGTCAAACATCACCAGCTGCTGGCCGCAGGAAGCTGCCACACGGCGTCAAGGAGAAGGCCAGTTTGTGAAAAGCATCAGTATTCAGAGAATCCGGCTGCCACATCTCCCATTTGTGTACAAACATCATAAAATAATTCTGAGGTTTTGGTTGCAAAACCTCCCTGGCTGACGCACGGCCAGGTGTTAGTATGGGTATTACAGTGTAAGACGGGAGGCAGGTTAAGGCACGTCTATTCTCTGATGTGGATCCTGATATTAGCATGAGAACACTGTAACCGCAGCAGCTTCATAAGAGTTCTCATAGGAACGGCAAATGAACAGTCAGCAGAGTCCAGAGAATGCAGACAAAAATATTTCTGTCTGTTTTTACTTTATTTTATCAGACAGGCACAAAGAAACCCTTCTCATCCCTAACATTGCTACAATGAAAACCCTTTTAGCGGTTCTTTGTTGATTCATCCAGATGACTAGGCAGAAAATCCTGATATAAAGCAACAAAATGGCCAAAGAAGGTACTGTATGTATTGTAGGAGTTAAAAGGATACAGCCTTGCCCAGAGGCAATCTTGAGGACTTCCAGTGCTTGGAAGCAGCCCATTATCCCTGGAACTTAAAGAAAAGTGGAACATTTTACCAACAACTATTATTTACACAGACTGTGCTCTGTGCAAAGTTAATGTGTCCTGGGCAAGCAAGGGGACAAGACTCACCCACTCCTAACACCCCTCCGTCAGAACAGTTGGTCACTGTCTCTGGGGGTGGGGGTACTGGGTACAGACATCTGTAGCAGGGGCCTCCATGGTAGTTATATACAGTCAGCTACACACAGAGCAAGATAAAGTAAAGTAACATTACAAATCTAGAGGAGCTTATGCAAGATTTCTATCTTACCTGCCCCTCCATTCTCAGGGCACTTGCTGACACCAGAGGCTTGCCACTGAGCACACAAGCGTCATTCACCAGATAACGAGTGGGGACATTGTCTGAACAATCAGCCACAATGTCATATATGAGGTCAGCAGAGTCAAGGTGTCATCACTAACGGAGTTCATATCCTTGGTTAGTCACACATTGAATACACATTTCTCAACAGAATATCTAAAATTCTCTTTATGCACTATAAGCAATCCTAGGCCTGAATGAGACTGGCAGGTCTGTGTAACAGATGTTGGTTAAGGGCTTTGTAGCAGGATACTGTTGAATGAGTTGCAAGGCGTTCTCCGGAGAGAGCTGCAGGTGGTAGGGAATACACTCAACTGTTGAGTTCAACCTGCAGACATAAAGACACATTCAAAAATATCAATTCATTTACTAAGACGTCTGGTTTAGCCCAATATAATTAGCAGCTTTAATAAAAACAGATTAGTATTTTGGTCACCCCCTTTAAAATGAATATCAGGGCCATATTGATGGTTCAGTTAAACCAAGAACAAACCAAAACAGCAGCATGTGAGTTTTGAATCTGACGTGGGACCTTAGTCCCATGTCTGCCCCCGCTCTTCTCTCTCCCTCTTAATCTTTACTGTCTGTCTCAACTATAAAAAAGGTGCAAAGACAAATAAATGATCTTCAAAAAATACATTATCACTCTTGTATAGTAAGTTGTATTATGCATTTGATAAATACTCTTTAATGAACAATAAATGTGAGAGGGTGTTTTTGGGACACAGCATCAAAACGCTGTACAAGTTAGCCAGAGAAATGGTGCCCTCATGTGGTCATGGCTATACAATGTGTATGCTAACCACAGTAGGCCTACTGTGAGGGCGAAAGGCACCAAAAACAGCTGTCTCTAAAATAACATGTTTACACAATATTTGCAGACTGGGGAGAAATACACAACCAAATATAACCTGTGGTGAGACTGGAAAGCGCCAGCATCCATTATACAGCAACCAAAGGGTCACAAAAAAATATAGAAGTACACCAATTATCATAGTTACAGCAGAACATTTACTAATAATATCAAAATACTAGCTTCTCAGTTTCAGGTCTGTTTGTGCAGGAATGTATTTCTCAAAGGCTCTAACACACTTTTGTTCTACTAGAGGATACTGGTATTAAGGTGCTTTTGACCTCCCTGTACTGTCAATCAGTACCTTTTAACTGCATTGGCAGCAGATAGAGCCTTGGCTTGGCCCTGGTTCTCCTCCCCATGAAGCACCTGTCTGTGCAGGTTACTGAGCTCTACCTCGTCATAGTCCAGCAGGCCCAGGCGCCCTGCAGAGACACAAAGACAAACAAGCGAGTCAGAATGGCTTTTGAATAAATGTCATACCCCCGATGACAGTGGCAAACCATGTAGATTCAACTTTATAACCAGGGTACAAATGTAACCACAGTTTTTATCTATAGTTCTTGTTTACTGCCATTTCTCAAATGTTGTTTCTGCTAACCACTGACCACAGTCAGCGACTCAGCCTCTAAACAGAAAGCTAATGTTACACACACTCTACACAAACTCATATACCTCTTTCCTTTAGCCAAAGCGCAGTTGAAACTTCACCGGAGGCAACAGGTAGTATGATTTTGACCGCAAAAGGAAAACATATTGGGTCGTCCCGATGGCTCACCTGGTAGAGCTAGCGTCCCATATACCAAGGCTGAGTCCTTGCTGCAGTGGCTATTGGTTCAACTCTGACCTGTGGCCCTGTGCTGCCTGTCATCCCATTTCTCCCCCCACCCTTTCTGTCACTCTTCAGCTGTCACTAACAAAAGCAATAAAAGCCTAAAAAATACTTTAAAAATATATATATTCACATAATAAGTAAGTCTTCAATTAACAGTTGTTCATATACTCTTGTCTCCTTACCTAAGCGTTCTCAGTGCACTTGATTTTATTTTTTACAGCACTTAAAATAGGTAGGGTGATATGTTTCTTTAGGAAATGTAAATTAATAATTCTGGTCGCAAACCTCTCCCCCACAGGTACAATTATTTACTTTACCAGGGACTGGGAGGTGAAGAGCTCGACTGAATTACTCAAACCCATACAGTCCATTTATTTCAAGGTCAACAACAGATTGGTTAATGATTTGATTTGGCACAAGGTCACACTGAGCATTTATCAACTCCATTACCTACCGATGCCTGCTGCTGCAAGATACTGAGCCAGGGGGCAGCCCAGTCCTCCACAGCCCACAATCAGCACTGAGGTCTTGGATAGGTGTAGCTGACCTGTGGACAATCAAGACTCACTCTGTGTTCAGTCATGCCATAAATCTCACTTGACAGAATGCTACCTGTACTGTATATGTACAACACTGTCTGTAGCCATCCGTACCTTGTACACCCAGCTCGGGCAGAAGGAGCTGTCTGCTGTACCGCATGATGTCCTCATTGCTGAGGGCTGGTTTGGCTTCCAGGGGGGTTAGTGGTGTGACTTTGTCATGCAGCTCCAGTACTGATGTATGGCTCTGAGGGCGGAATTATTACACAAGACATAAGAAACACGTTTAAACAACAGGAGCTTGGAGCAATCATATCAATCATTTACAGCCATTAACAGTCTGCCTCTATAATGTAATGAGCTACAATTATATCTCTCTTTACATACGTCTACAGCCCATATGCCTGACATAAGGAGCTCTTTGGGAAGCACTCTTTATAGGAAGGGATTTAAGTGGCTTGTGGTGTGCTTATTTAGCATATAGGACATAATGAGTTTAGTGTGCTAGGTTGAAATATCCAGATTTCTTTTGGACCCTTTAAAATGCCAATCAGTTTTGCAGGTCTTCTGCCTTTTTTAGCATGTTTGCCATGGACTTATTTGTTAGCTAAAAAGCATCTGGATCTACGAATACAGCACTGCATTCTTGTCTGTACAATTGTACAAAAAGTGTTTATGCATTTGATGCTGTGTTTTAATGCAATGATGATGTGATATTCACATGAGTATTGTGTGATCTCCCATTTACTGAATAATCTGTTCATATTATCCACAGATGTTGATGTATATTCAATTTCAATTTCTCAGCTAAACATCATCAGCTAACAAAGTAAGTTAGATGTCTGTCCAGTGCTGCGGACACATTTGGACAAGCACTAGTTGAAGCATCCAGTAGGACTTTCGTACCTTTTCCAGTTGTGCCAGTTTATTCTTCAGAGCAGCTATCTCTTTCTCTTTCTCCTTGAGCTCTGCCTTCAAGCAGCACACCTCTTCGGCCATTACTGCTGGCACAAAGGAAACACCCGCACTTACAAAAACGAATCTAAAAAAACAACGCTACGATGCTGATAGAGCTGCAGTGTGACTGCGAGACAAGAACGTGTTGACATACAAAGCGCACGGCACAAACTTCCGGGTTGACCACGTGACAATGCGACACACGTGGTAGATGACGCACCAAGCGCTGGTCTTACTTTTTGACCAATTAATAAGTCGTTTAAATTAATAGTTAAAGCAACGATTCATTCTTAGAAAATGTAAAAAGAATAAAAAAAAGTTATTCAAGCTTCCGTACACAAAGCACCACGTGAGGTCCTTTATATTTCCTTAAATATGTTTTCATGTAAAGCTCCCGTTTAAATGTTTACTAGACTGCTTAGAGATCACAATGGGTACACTTAGACTGTGTCTTGTGACCTCCAGGCTAATATAGGTAAACTGTAAATGTGCGTTGGTCTGTTGAGCAATTATCAAAGGAAGATATGGGGTCACTGCCGTATGTCACAAACACCCATGAGGTTCCTGAGAGTGCACACACACACACACACGTACACAGCAGTATGTGACGTGCTGTGGTTTAGAGAGCCTCGGGTCCTCCCTCCTGCTTTTCACATGATCTGTAAGCTTTCACAGAGGAGAGACAGGAATGTGGAGAGGAGCGTCAACAAGCCACGGTCCTGCCATAATGCGTTTATTTTACACTGTGTCCATCTGGGTGACATTCATCCACTGCACCAATGGAATTCCCTGGACACAAGAAAAGGTAAATACATTTTGAGGATCTGTTCACATTTTGTGGTCTTAACATTTTGCCAGACAGTCATAATATAGGAACCCTTCTCCAGGAGTGAAACCATTTTAAAAAACTTGCCACATGCAGTGTTTTTACAATTTTATTATTATGTAGCCTACTTTGGACATATCTAATTTACCTTTTTATAATTTAAAAGCAAATGAAATCAATATCTTGAATTGTTTTGTTAGAAAAAACATTTGAATTTGAAATAATTAACTTCTGTTTATATTGGTGTGGTAGTTGTTATTATATATTATTATTATATGTTATTATATATATATATATATATATATATATATTAGTTTATATTGGTTGGTAGTGCATGCTTTTCCTCTTAAGATGGAGATTAGTACGTAGACTGTTCATTGTGTAAAGTTCCCAGTTTCAGTTTTGATATACATAATATCTGAATATATTTATTCATGATTTTCCAGCAACCCTCTGCACTGTTTTCTGGCACAGTTGTGTAATTCTCCAGAGATTCACCTGGGTATGCCTGGCCATTCATGTTCTTCATTTATGTTCTTCTTCTCCTCTCCTCTTTGCCTAGTTGCTATGGCAGCACAGTCATCATCATTGATCCTCCAATTGCACGTCTTGGTATTTATAGACCTTAAGTGGACCCCCTTTTAACCCTCTCTAAGCCCAGTGCGCCTCAGCTCTTTGTATAACTATATTCAGTCTATGTGACCACATAATTATACTTTTTGCATTGTATGCCACTCTGTAATTACAGGACTGATGTGTGAGTCCTAGTCAGTATGGACCGAGCTCATGCTGTGAACGTTTGACGAAGTGAATGTTTATGCTTCAGTTGTAATGAACAGAGTTAAGGAATGCGCCCTCCCCTATTGTCTGAGACAGTAAAGTTAAACTAAATTAGGAGGAACAACAAATGTGAAAATGTTCAGTCTGAAGTCTTACAGTACATATTAAGCAAAAACATTTGCCTGTTTTAGCTTCTCAATTGCAACAATGTTCTGTTGTTCTGGGTTTTGGACTGTTGGGCTGACATAAAACACAATTTGAAGATGTCACCCTTGGCTTTGGGTTTATGTGTTGTGATTTTTTTCCACAATTTTCTGACATTTTCAATTGACATTAAGTGACTGATTAAAAATAATAAAATTGAAAATTATAAAATAATAATAATTGATATTTAAAATAATTGTCAGAATGGATTTGATAACTAAACAATATGCTTCTAATTTCCATCCCATTGTCAATTAAGGACTACAGAGAGCCTGTTATTGGAGGCTGGAGCAGTGTAAAACATACAGACTAAACAGGCTATTCACCATCAGCTCTTTCCCTCTTGCTCCCTGTCCTTCAGTTTGTTACCACGACAACCATGGTTCTCAGCAGGTGAACTTTGAGACCAAATGAAAAAGAGCCATGGGATCGGAGAATCAATATGTTTTTTTTAACCCACGACTGTAATTTAGCACGCATTGAATCGACCCATTCAGCTCCCAATCCATATGATTCCTTAAACTGCCCAAACAGATTGATCTGCTCTTTTACAATCACTTCTATTTCCCAGACCATGAGAGAGCAATAACATGTTGACAAGCACCCTTCACTGTCCTGCCTCTCTATTCAATAGATCCATGCTTTTCTAAAGTAGCTTGCGTGTGCATTCGAAGCAATTCAATCAGTGTCTATTCACACTGGTCTAAGTGGCTCTTGTGTCTCTCTCTGAGGAAGTGTTAGAGTGAGCTTCACAGCTCATCTAAAACACTGTGTTTGACAAAATAACAAGATCACAATGTTGTTTTTTAATTTTCACATACTGTAGGTTTTTTTAGACATTGTCATGTAGGAAAAATCTCTCCTATATGATGGATTTTCTCTTCAGATGTCCCTAGCAACTTTATAATTGAAATAAAAAATTCCACTGTTGGCAAACCTAGTGAACATTTTCCAGTGGCGTGAAAGAATGTTGTGACACACTACAATTAGTGGTTCTGCAAGCTGTGTCATCCACACTGTTGCTCAATTAAAATGCATCATAGGAAGACGTCCCTTGCAGTTATATCAGGAAAATGTTGAACTGAAACTGAGCACATTGCTTGGTCTTTCTGAACACACTTCTTTGCTTCCTAATTATTAACTGTACCCAATGCTGTTTCTCATCCATTTTAAATCATCTTGTTTCCTCCCTCTGGTTGGGTTCAGCTCCATCACCGAGCTCTCACTCTAACACAAGATGAGGTCAGTACCGCCCTGTCTCACACTGACCTGGAGCAGATGTGGGTGAGAGACCTGAGACCGCTGCTGGTTACCAGGTACCCAGGCTCTGCAGGCAGCCAGGCCGTACAGCAGGTGAGTTTATTTGGTCCACTTTTAAATACACAGACACTTGTACTGACAAAGATAAAGATAACTTCCCCACTACCACCCACAAGCATGTGTGTTGAACATGAAACATTTACTGTGTCACGATAAACACCTATTTTAATAAATGCAAAGAAACATGTTACTTTTACCTCATGGAAAACACTACTTAGTGGGGTGGTGATAAAGTGAGGTATGTTCTGAATGCTCATTACTAACAAGTAATCCTTGTGTGGTTACAGCATATCAAAACAACCCTCAGTTCCCTCGGAGCAGGCTGGGAAGTGACGGAGGATAAGTTTGTGTCACAAACACCCTATGGACCCCTGCCTTTCACTAACCTAATTGCCACCCTCAACCCATCAGCCAAGCGCCGCCTGGTCCTGGCCTGTCACTACGACTCCAAGTACTACCCACCACAGTGGCACGGGAGGGAGTTCCAAGGCGCCACTGATTCTGCCGTTCCCTGTGCCATGATGTTGGAGCTGGCCCGAGCCCTGGATGAAGAACTGAAAGCTCAGAAGGTGGTGACCTTAAGCATGTAACTTGAAATAGTTATTCAGGCCATTTAGGGGTTTGTATTAGTTTTAGTAGTACTGACTGACTTACAGCACTGACGAGTTGTGGCCATGAATCACAGGCAAGTCATACAACAGCAACAATGGTAGTAAGTTCTAGGAAAAACAAGGCTAAACATGTCGCAGACAAGACCAGTTCTAGGAACATTGGGTGAGTTTTTCCATTTCACTCAAACATAAGAAATTGTATCACATCAAAATAGATAAAGGATAAGGCTGATATTATCTATCTATGTTCTATAAAAGGCCTTTGTGCTGCATTCACATGGATTCAGGCAAAGCGTATATGGCAAACTGGATGCCGTGTTTGGGGATGAGAGCAGGATATTAGGTGAGGCCAGCAGAGAATACCAGCAATTATAACAATTTTATAAGTTAAGTTTATAAAGTTTATATAAGTTAAAATATTTCTTTTTCTGTACTCCACAACGGAAAACCGGATGTTACATAGGTTCCTTACACAAGGAGATAACATGGGCAAACTGGAAAATGAGACGCTAATAATGAATAAATTACATAAAATAATTACCAGAAGATATTTTATTTAAAATAATTTACCAGAAATTATTTTATTTAATACATTTAATTCAATTTTTTGTAAATGACACAACATCACCGTAGCAACATTTTGTCATGCATGTTTCGTTTTGCTGTCCTGCCATTCTCTCCGTTTGTTTCTTTTTCCCGTGGTATGAGGAAGGTGCTGTCTGTCTGCCGTCTACTGTCTGCCTGAATCCATGTGAATGCAACATTAAGCAATCTCATTGAGTCAGTCACTACGAGTTGGATGATTCAGCTAACTAGAAGTAAAATGTGTGTATCACTTTGTAAGTGAAGGCCTAAATCTAAATGTTCTGTTATAGTAGGTTTAATACCCATAAACCTTTACGGATGAACAAACCTCTGCTGCAACACATCATTATTGGCAACAGCAACATTTTAAGTACAAAATCTATAATTACTGGTTCTGTTTTATAAGAATTATCACAAATCTGCCATCAACAATTTTGGATTGCTCCACAAACAAGTGATTCATAAGGAAAACACTTAGTATTCATGCAGCTTGCTCCTCTGCCCTTTTCCTGTTTCACAGTTGAGCTCAGACCCCTGTCCACTGGGCGGACACTGACAGGGCCTGTGACAGAGAGAGATCAGCCAAGGGACATGTTTATCAGATTCAGCTGTCTGTCACAAAGGTCACTGTGGGAATAGGAATCACAGTGAATACAAATACATTCGCTGCCGTGGAGGTGGACACATAATCAATATCATAGCTGTTAAATGATAGATAGAGGAAACTGTAAACATACTATTACAGAAGTATATTTTTAAGGACAAAACGTTGGGCAATTTATGTGTCACTGTAATCCCAAGACCACAGGGGGGCAGCAAAGCTCTGTGGATGCAAACAGGTGTGGCACATAACTGTCTTATTTTTATCTCCGATCTAGATTTCCAGTCCCAACCTGACCTTGCAGTTGGTCTTCTTTGACGGAGAGGAGGCTCTTTTCCAGTGGACGTCCACAGACTCCCTGTATGGCTCTCGCCACCTTGCCCAGAAGATGGAGACCACCCCACACCCCGCCGGAGCCACAGACACCAACCAACTACACGGCATAGTAGCTCACAGTTCTACTTACCCTTCTCTACCCAAATCACCTGCGATTAACATAATCATTTAATCACTCTGGAGATCATCCCTTTGTTAGCCCACATCAATTTCAGTACAATCTGCTTAGCCCTGATCTCCTCTTACACACACAGCCCACACAGACACCCTAGCAAGGGAGGTGCAGGGGGACATAGAAATTCCATAGAAATTCGAAAGCAGCCCATTTTATCATCTGGGAGGTTATCAAACATCATTTATTACACAGTCTATGATAACAAGACGTCACATTAATTGGTGTGTGTTTCTGTATCCTAGCTGTGAAGAGATAGTGTAACTGTGTATCAACAAATGTAGACATTCCTGTGGGCACAGAGATAACGCAGACTATATCTTAAAGAACCAAGTGCGTGTGTGTGTGTGTGTGTGTGTGTGTGTGTGAGTGCTCATGTAGACAGCCAGACAACCGTGTTTTGTCTGCTGCAGAGATAACATGAAGCACTGATGTCAGTGTGTTGCACCACCACACCACACTCAAAGCTGGGCTGTGAGGTGTGATTAGGTGTAATGGTGACTTCAGGATGTGTAGGGAGTTTATCATGACACCCTTTTCACCCCTGTTTCATCTCCTCCAGGATCTGTTTGTGTTGTTGGACCTGATCGGGGCTCCTAGTCCACACTTCGGCAGCCAGTTCCCCAGCACAATGCACTGGCTCTCCAGGCTGCAGAGCATTGGTGAGTAATCAAATGTTTTACATTATTGTACACTACATAGGTCTGTTTACTTTGTTGAAGGTGCGGCACAAATATGAGTCACATTAATCACTAGTCATTAATACATTAATCATCATTATATCAAGGCCAATGTGGCAACTGTGCTGCATATCTGTCACACTGTATCTTTCATTTGTTTGCCATCCTTGTGTTGTTATGCCTTCACTGTGATATTATATTTTTTAACTTAAAGCAGAAACAAGCTGGAAGTGTTTCCACTGCCTCGTTTAATTGATTTTAAGGGAAATCTGGACTAAGCATTAGGAATAACTACATAGAAATGTTTTGCTACATTAACATATTATTTTCTGCCCCTTTATCTCTGTGTTTTTATCCCTTTTTTAAAGTGGGTGGGGCTTTGTTTGAAAAAGGTGATGTCACATACTTCCGTGCACCAATCAGGATTTACATTTTATTCAAAATGTGATGTCAGGTGTGGGGTTGTTTGCTTCTGTTGCAAGCACTTTCAACCCAAATTGATGAAACGACATCCAAACATTCCAAATCAGCTCATTCTTGAATTGTTGATTTATAGAACTATTAATAACTAATAATTTTTTCTGTAACCTAAACTAACACACAAAACACTTTTTCTCTCTTTGTCCTGCCTCTTATATCCTCAGAAAAGCGTTTACACTCCATGAACCAGCTTGTGGATCATCCTAACAACGTGCAATATTTCTGGCCAGATCGACCTGTCGGACATATAGAAGATGATCATATACCATTCCTAAACAGAGGTATGCACACCAAGTGACACAAGTACTGCAAATATTATTACATTTATTGTGTAGCTCTGTTGGGTGATCCTCATACTGTGCCCTCCTATCAGGTGTACGTATCCTCCACCTCATCCCCTCCCCCTTCCCGTCCGTGTGGCACACGTTTGATGACAACGAGCAGAACCTGGATCGCTCCACCATTCAGAACCTCAACAAGATCCTGCAGGTTTTTGTTCTGGAGTACCTCAACGCCAGACCCACCATCCCTTCAACCCCACAGAATGCACCGTAAAAAGAAATGCCAGCATATTGTTCAACAGCTTTCTTTCTTTCTTTTGATGTTTCACTGTTAAGATCTTCAGTTGTTATTCTATAGTGAGACTGAGAGAAAAGACTATATTTATTTCTGTTTGAACACCAACGTGTACTCCTTGACCTTATAATTGAGATGTAAGTTTGAGACTCAACCTTGCACATCAGAAGGGTGGCAAATTCACAAGAGATTTTGCATAGAGTTTAGGGAGATATATAATGTCATACACGGTGCATTTTGCATCTTTATTTTGAAAATCTTTGTAAAAACATATTTTGGCTGATGTAATTGCGACATGTATTTTTTTTCCAAATTGGTTCATAAGAGACTTCAAGACTCTGAAGCTTCGTCTTCCCTTTAAGGCCAAAATCCCCAGCAACAAGATCAGCACACAGGATCTTCTGTGTGTTTTTTACTACACTGCTTTCTTTATATCAACCCCTCCTTTACACTGTGAAGAGGCATTTTAAAGAGGAGCAAAAAAAGTATAGTGCAGAGGTAAAAATAATAAGTGTGAGCAGTTAAAATTATATGATACCCTTTATTTTACAAATTTCCCTGGCAACATTGAACTACATGAATGCATTGCAAGTCCAAAGTTGTTAATAATTTCATTATTAGTTGCTTTGGGGTAGCCTGAAAACATATTATCATCATCATGAAATAATGTCCTGAATCCTTGATATGTTATATTGTTTGATAGATATACAATATAGCCACCCACATGACACATGTGAGACAGTGTCACACTGTGTTTTAGCTACGGTGTATGTGACATTTCCTCAGCGATAGTAAATCTGTTCAGCGTTAACAGAGCAGACCTGCAAGTGGCAGGAAGTGGGTTTATTTCTATTATAACAACATCTTTAGCCCTTCATATCCTGTCATCTTAGAAAGTGAAGTGGATAACTTCCTGTGCTGATGTTTCATGTGCCTGCCTTTGTTTATATGACATTAGTAGCCTGATTTTTTTATGTAGATCCCAGAATAATATACAGTGCCAAATCTGGACTTCCTGTCTTTTGAGGGTGAAATAAATGTTGATTCAGAATACAAGGGAGCTTATGCAGAGTTTGCTTATCTTTACAAGTCTTTGTTTTACTGTGGATGAAGAAGTTAGTTTTGCTCAGATGCTTGCTCATTTTAATAATCTGAGGTGATCTTTTGTTCAAGTTTTTCTTAACCCTATATTTGTAATTCTGACCTAAAACAGCAAGAAGAACCAATACCGTTCTTCCAGTTTTGCATCTGGTGATCCGTCTCTCAGCCTTAAAGCTCAGGCTCTCTCGTACTTAACAGACCAAACACCCCTTCCATCTCACCTCGACAACAATCCCATGATTCACTAATCCTATCAGGGAAGACCTCCCCTGAATTCCTCAGCACCCAAATCCCCTTCAATCCAGCCCACTCTCATGAGAACTAAGTGTGGCTCAGACCCTCCTGTTCACTGCATTCAGAAATGTTTGTGATGCCTGGCAACAATGTACACCAACATACCGTATCTGGTCTTGAAGGAGATTAAAAATGCTTCAAGGGTCATTAGTCAACTAAGACTGCAAAGTGATGTATAGTTTCCACCCAAACTCCAGAAAGTTGAGAAATCTGTGTGTTTAATGCTTTCTCTGCCATAAGAGATCTGCAGTTCTTTATACGGATACCTTTTTGTACTGTCACCTTGTCTCACGCTCACCCTCCCTTCTTTCATTCTTATTTCTGTCAGCTTGGCATTAGGTTTTATATTACCTCTGGCATTCTGCATGTCAATCATCACCATAATTACTTGGTTGAGATAAAATATCTTTAATTAACTTTAATCTAAAGGAAGGACTGTTATTCAAAATACATCTTGGTTCAAGCCAACCAGCAAGGAAACCAGCATGTTGGAACAAGGAATAAGAGGAGAAGCAGAACAAATTGTTGTATAGCACTCTATTGGGTCTTCCAGTAATGTTTTGCCTGACAGCAAACTGATATGCCCAGGTTTAATAACAGTCTAGCTTTAATCTGCAGCTGATTACAGTGCAGAGTGAACAACAGCTTCCAGCTGTACAGTAATGGAGTGATGGGAAGGGCCAGGACTCTCCCATGCAAGGTGTGTTTCAGATTGTTAGAAAATCCTGAAGAGGTCACTTAATGTCAAAAACCATAACAGTAAAACTACTTAAACTCTTTACAAAGACTCTTATTGAAGGCACATACATGCTGAGGTCACAACACTTACAATTTATGAAATAGCTATTTAATAAGCGCAACCTGAAGAAGAATTTTGATATTCCCCAATTGTCACTCTGTCTGATGGTCTTTTCCTGCTTTCTAATATCTTGTTTAGTAACTAGCTGTTGCCACACAATAAACATGTACATTTGACCTCACCAAGCCTGGTCTAGCCTATATCATGTTACATACAGTTTATGTCAACACATCAGCCAAGAGCAAGGTAATAAGATGATGTTTGGTCAAATTCATTCTTTATGGTCACATATTGTCACTGTCAGGAGAAAATCACAATCCAAAATGTTCTTATAGGCTTTCTTTGACGTTCAAATACACCAAAAGAAATCCCTCTTTTTACATCACAGACGATATTTATTCTAAATGGGTAACTCAGGTGGCTGTGGACTCCTTTATAGCCTACAATCCATTTTCATTATATTATTGGATTGGGTTTGTTTTCTAAATTACTGAGATTGTAAACAATGTAAATCATTACTCTTTGCATGTGTGTAGGATTGAGCCAGCCTGCAAAAAGGGAAGGTACCAACAGAGAGCAGCAGTGAGTCACATTCAGTTCAGTGTCAAGAAGAAGTCCCTTCTGATGTTTCTCTTACATGATAATATATATGATTGAACACATTATGGTAATATCACAGTAATGGCTCAATATCATGTTAGTAATACACCAGTGAGCTATGGCCCATGAATATAAACAACTAAGATGTTTAATACACATTGTAAATAGTTATGCACTGATATTTAACTGTGACCCACCATTTACATATTTGTGTGTTCTTGTATATATATATTTTTTTTTTTTAGGAGCAACAAATCATATACTGGGCAGCACATAGTTTAATATAACACACATCCAGTTTAAATGAGGGCGGTGAACACAGCAACTACCAACATCATACGCTGCATTCAGGTGCTCTCTGTAAACCTCTAATTACATTTCCCGAAGTGGTAAATAAATACTAGATTGTTGGTCAAAAATGATAATGTAATTGTACAGAAACGTGCCTGTTGCAAAATCAATCGAAAAATACTTACTTTAACAGAAAATAAAAGGGGAAATGCATCATGGTATACATTAGTTTCCATAACCATGCACATTTGTGTACATATCAATACATAACCATACAAATAAAATATGAATATAATGGAAAATAACATAAGCTATGTGGTCATTCGCTTGTATCTGAGTCAGAGGAAATTACTTCATTTTACGGTTTGCTTTTGCGCACAAGTTGTGATTTCCCCCAGTATTCCCGGCAGCCAGTGAACGCAGCACTGATCCCAGACGTATTTCAGTCCAACCTCTAGTCCCGCGTGCAGAGTGATACAGAGGGTGAACACAAACAGACGAACAGCAGCGACCCTTCGTGAACAATGTCACAGCAAACTAGCTCCTTCATTTAAACTGT